CGATGGGCGAACGGGTTTATGCGGTCGGAAATGAGAATAGAAAGGACCGCCAAGAAAACAAAAATAAGTCGGCAATAAAATCCGTAGGCAGAAGCCGTAATCCGGATAGTGAAGGCGTAGCTCAACGGGAGGATGTGGATTCGTTAAAAGAGTTGCCGAGAGATATGGTAGCCATGTTATCGCAGCTAGTTCAATCGCAGAGGGGCCCGCCCAGGGGAAATGCGAGCCCTGCTGCGAGGAACGCTGCAGGGCGCGTGACCTTTCAGGGCGTATGCCACAAATGCGGGGGGCTGGGACATCGGAAGGCCGAGTGCCCAAGCCCAGAGAGCTTGAAGTCGACGCGAACAGGCTCGGAGCCGTTGGGGGCTGGAGGCACGAGTGGCAGAGGGGTTTCTAACCAAAGTGCGAGTCGTAATCGGGGAAAGAACCCAGTGCGCTGCTACAGATGCCAACAGCTAGGACATTACGCGAATCGGTGTTCACAGGGAAGTAAAACAGGGTTAACGTGCCAAGGCTGCGGTAAGGAAAATAAGACGTTGGAAACATGTCCGCAATGTCAGGTGTGGCTCAAAGCTCTGGAAAACTTAAAAGCGGGATCCAGTTGCCCGACGGGTTCCACGTAGTTGTGCGTAATAGGGCATCCAACGGGGCAAAAGTCGCGTTCATGAGGCTGTTTTATAGCAAGTTCGCAGAGTTTCAACAGCAGGTTGAGCGAAATGAAGCTAGATTAGGCACGAATAACGCGAAAACGGAGGCCTCTATGCAACGCGAGTGCGCGAAAGATAGAATCAAGGAGAGTTCGAGGAAAGAGTTCGACTGGATCGAATTCAACGAACGATGGACAAGAATGCGTGAAGCAGGGCCCGAGCGCGAGCGAGGAAAGCGAGCGTTGGAGTCGGGGGAAATGCTGGATGCACGCGAATCAGAGCGAAATCGAGGAAATGGCCAAGGGAGTCCGACGCTCGGGCGTGGGTCGAGAGGTGAATCGACGAGAACGCGCGGGGTGGATCAGCCGGGCAGGAACTCGATGGAAACTGCAGAGACCGCGCGGTCTTCGAGAAGTCCAGAGGGGAATGCGGCGCGTGCGCGGCCGGTTCCAGAACAAACTCGGACTGAGAGATCGCCTCAGCAGGCTGGAAACTCAAAAACTGACGACCTTGACGGTGTAGACGAGACGTCGTCGCAATCCGTCACCTCGTTCAGGGAGTTTATGGTGCTGAGCGGAGAGGTAGCAGTTAGGGCGACACCGATCGCATCGGGTTTGGAAGCGTCGGATGGCGCAGGATGCGAGTCGACACGCAAAGATTTGACGGATAGTCGGGGGAGCGAGAAGCGAGGCGAGTCATCGGGGACCGGTGTAGGTTTCTCGCGCCTCTGTGCTCGTCTTTGCGTGGGCGAACCAAAAGTGGACGCGGTGGAAAATCGCGAGTTGTTGGTAGTCCATATCGCGGGGAAGCCATACAGTGCGCTGTACGATTCAGGAGCGATGGTGACTATCGTGGGCCCGCGTATACGCGGCGACTTTGTAGACAGGATTGAGCCGTGCGACTTCGCGTTGTTCGGGTTTTCGGGAGCGAAAACCGGGATCGTGGGAAAACTTCGGCTCAGGGTTGAGATCGACAGAGTGTCACGAATAATCGTAGCGCGAGTCGTGGATGTACCAGTGCAATACGACATGATAATCGGGATGGACTTTATTCAGGAGTTCGGTATTGGCACGGATCATGCGAATGGGAGATGGCATATAGAGGATGGCCCGTGGCACTGGTTCGCGGAGCTGAAGCGCGAAAGAGTGTAGTTCCCGAGTGATCCTAGGTTTGCGCGTGTTCGCGTTAGAGCCGAGGTCGCGGGGCTCTCCGAGTTGCGATCTTCGCAGCACGAGTTAGTGGAACGTCTGATGCGGCTAGTAGTACCCGAGAAGTCGCCTGCGCGTACGCATTTAATTAAGCATGAGATCGACGTGCAGGGTGCACGACCAGTAAAAACTCTCTTAAGGCGATATTCGCCACAGGTGATAGAGTTTATGCGAAGGTTCGTCGCAGTAAGGAATACCAGCAGGCAAGAGCTGCGGAGGCCGAGGTAGCGAGATCGCAGCCACAGCCTCAAATCGCAGACCAGAGTCAGCTCGAGGTAATGCATTCACAACGACAGATTGTAGCGGGGGAAGGTGTGTGAACCGCGATCCGGTAGCAGCAATATTGGTAGAGTTAGCACGTTTAACGCCAGAACAACGGGAAGAAGTAACCAGGATCCAACGCCAGGCGTGCGAGCTCGCTGCCAGGGCGATTGGCAAGGGCGCAGCTCCAGATAAAGCATGAAAAGGCTGAGATACCAAATCTGTTCACTTTAAAAGGATTTTACGTTGCTTTGTTTTATTTTATTTTACTTTCCTTTTGTTTTATAGATGGTATGTTTATGTATGTTTGTTTATTTATTTTTTTTATTGATTTTGATGGTTGGCGATCTGGATTATTGAAGTTTTATGATTTTGATTTTGTACTATAGTTTTAAGTTGTTTTCTCGCTGGTCCTGTGTTCGAGCGAGGAGGGTTTCGATGGGTAACCCACGGGTGCCTGCGGCTTCCGCGGCTTAGCGGGGGGCTGTGACAGGGTTATAGCGATGTTCGCTAGCCCTGTGTGCGGTACTCTCCTCGCGTGAGCGCAGCGACCAAGTGTACGCTATATAGCGACTACATACTTGTGTCGTTGCAGGATCTGAAGAGAGGAGCGCGACGATCGGCGAGGTGTCGCCGTGAGCGCGAGTGAGAGCGAGAAGAGCGAGAGAGAGAGAGAGAGAGCGATTTTGACTGATTTATGACGGCGAGGCTTAGAAAATGAGAGAGGAAGGGCAGTTAGGCGCGAGCTCTCGAGTAATTAGGGCCGCCTAAGGAGAGACTGGTGGAGACAAGAATTCGGCAGGAGAGGAACTACTGCCAGGAGTGCGACTGCCACTTGCCAGGAGAACCAGGTGTTCAAAGCTGAGCCCGGACAAGCAGCGACCATTCGCCGTCCACGGGGCAAAGGCTGTGTTGCGGCCCTTCCTGCAGCAACCTCGACCGTCGCCAGGGCAGCGTTTCCAGCGGATCTACGCTTTCGCCGGCGTCGCCTCTCTACCGACGGACTGTCGGCATCCGGTGGGTCTAAGACCAGTTTATCTCTCTCGCGCCAGCTCTCGCTCGATTACAGACATTAGCGTATTGTGAGAAATTTATCGCGCACGCCGAGCGATCTCGCTCGCGTGATCCCGCGAACTCTGGTCGCGGAAAGGTTGAGCGAGCGCGCTCACTGCGGTGAAGTAGATCTTGTAGCGATATTTGTGAAAAGGCGTCAATAAATGGGATCGCCATATGTAATATAAGTGAATTAAAGTGTTCGATTATTTGTATCAACCTTCCGAACCAGAGCGAATTTCGGCCTGTGAAAGTCAGCGCCGGCTTTTTTTACCGAGAAAGAACCCAGAAAAATTAGCAGAGACCAGCTCAAGGCGCACGGTGGATGTCTCCTCTCACAAATTTAAATGAAAATACTGTCAGTTCTGGCATTATTTACAGTAAAGGTAATATTTTTAATGTCGAATCGAAAACTGGTGCTGGAATTGGAATCTTAATTATGATTTATTGCAACCTACTCTACTGCCATCCTATCCAACAACTAAACTATAAAGCAATAATGCATAAACTTTTTAATCTTTAGCTGCAACTAATCAATTCAATGTATCCATAAAATTAAATCTCCTGTTGTTATTTATTAAGCTGTTATGACTTATTATGGCATGTGTTATATATCTAGTCTTAATTATACGAAATTATGTTTTTTTAATGGATGCTTTATGCAAGTGAATTTTGATATTTTTGGAGTCCGGAAATAAAATACTAGTCGAAATTGATTGGAATCTAGAAAAATCTTGAAATAGCGTATTTCGATATTATTGTGAAATTTATTATTTTTAAGATACGAGAAATTCATTTGACCCCCGTGTGGACGTTTGCGCTCGAGCGAAGCAAGGGTGAAAGAACCACTCAAAAGTCGAATCACTTTTTCGCAGTAATATGTCTCAGTAATATTTTTTTTTTATTAGAAACTTACCATTCTCTGATAATCCAATTAAAAGTAAGTAATTATTCTCGGAAAAGTTCCAGAGTAAAGATTTTATAATACAATGATAGTTAATATGATGAGGATAGTAAAATGAATGTAACGACGATTCCATATCAATTCTGAAATGATTCCTGAAATCTTCAAAGATAGTTATAAAGATTTTATCAATATTTTAACTTTACAATGTTTCAAAATTATTACATACACTCGCGCGCGCGCTCGAGCACGCACACATAATTCATGAATTACATATTTTCCATGCATTTTATGTTCCATAATATCATAATAGAATGTTGACATATGTGCAAACTGTATTTCTGTGTTTGTTTCTTGAGCTTGCGCGCCATTACATTATACATATATACTAGCTTTGCATATGATTGCCACTTATCCGACTGTCAGTTCTTTGGTACAGTACAATATAAATTTACAAATAATTCAATTATGGAGCGTCATTAAGGCTCAAAGTTAAAAAATTTTAATAATAATGATTATTGTGATATCGTACTTTGAACCTGAAGAGGAGTCAAATATATAATCCTCACTACGATCGAAACGTTAAAAAGAGGATTGATAGAATTGCCATTTTGCCCATTTACTATCTCAACGTAGAGATTACAATCGATATTAAAGCAAGGCATAAGAAAATTCTAGTTGATTGTTGTACAACTACCAATAATCTATAATTGAACTTGATTGTACGGCATTTGAATACTAAATATTAGTAATTTGACTGTACAGCTTGCTATTTCTCATAAACTAATAATAGCTTCGAATGTTATATTACTATTTCTAACTTGCGATTAAGTTTAACATTTCCGATTATATATGAACTTATTTCTAAAATAATACTAAGTGCGAAATCTATCTCCGCTGAAAATTTTTTATTTTAAAATGAATGGAATGGATGAAAGTTTTCATAAATACTTCAGTATTAACCGATATTTCATGATATCTACCGGTTCCTGGCCATATCAAACAGGAATCTCTGCTATAGCAGCTCAACTTTGTTTTATTTTGCAACATATCAGCATTATTGTACCAGAGGTAAATTAGAAACTCAAGATTAATTGGCTTTTACAAAGTCATTAGTTACGAACAGCTTAATATGAGTGTGAAAATTGTACATTTATATCTAATTAGCAATAATCTTTTTACAAACAATGTGTGGAAAGCGTCGATTTAAGCCCACCTATTTTGCCAAGTATGCAGAAAAGTTGTACTTCGCACACGTAATGTTGAAATAGTACATTTTTTAGACACGTAAATTGAATTAGAAATATATATTGGTCAATCTTTTTTATATAATATATTTTTCATATGTCTTTTATCAAAGCATATTTAATAATTATTAATTTTTAGTTGACTTGATAATTATTCGTTTCATAAGTATACATTAGTATCCGTATCCTTGAGAAAATGCTCGATTCCAACGACAACCCCGTCAATACCGCGCGTCTTACCCTCAAGTAATCATGCGAGGAGACTTCATAAAAAAAGAGTAGACAAGAATAATTCTTGCACTTCCATTTTGTATACATTTCAATGAGATATGATATATATCAAAGAATATTAATGAATCTTACAAATAATAAATTACAGAGTGTCCAAAACGTATTATGATTATGAATTAGTATTCGAAGAATATAAATAAAAAAATTAAAATATTTTCACAATTTATTCCACATATATCTTTATTTGCTCAACACATTTATATTTTAGATCATCAAACTTTTTAATAGTACCGATGACATTGATCTCGTATTTGAAAGTGTGCCTCCCATCTTTTACAACCTGCTGATAGCTGTTATGTTTGTATGTTTAACATACAACACACGAAAGGTGATATTTTATATAGTTTCTTACATATTATTAATGATTTCAGTTCTTCTTAGTATTTGTTATCCAAAAGTTAAGTGCTTCTAGAAAAAATTGGTTTTCTGTAATTACTAGTCACATCCAACTATTCTTTAGTAACTTATTTTAATATAGTAACCAGATAATTTTATAACGCTCATGAAACAAATTTAATATCATATTAAATATAATTGTTTCATCGTGTACTTTGGAATTAGTTTGTATTTATTTACTTCACAATTATATACGAATGTAAATTAAAATAATTTTAAAGAGACAAAAATTACATACTAAAATGATTCTTTAACATGTTCGGATTCTAATGCATCATTTTGATAAAATATCTTTTTCTCTACCTCTTTACAAAAATTATTTTTCAATTCAATATACAAAAAAAAACAGTACTAATATCTGAATATGTTTTGTAATATTTTCAGACAAAATGTTTTTTAGAGAAAATTAACGGGGATTGGCTAAGTTTGAATAATGCAGAAGATAGACAAATTTTATCAAATTATGCAGAAGTAGGAATACTAATGTCTTGGGTATATATTGGTGCGTAAATATTTTCCAAACTATTTTGTCGCATGTTAAATTTACTATATAATATCGTACAGGGTTCGTGAATTTTCTATCGCATTGTTATATGTTTTAGTTTCTTGTTATTCTACACTACTTTTGTATTGCGCTGTTCCATTGGAACCAATCATAATGGATTTTTTTATACCATTGAACGAATCAAGACCAAAAATACCGTTATATCGAACTGAATTTTTCGTGGACGAAAACAAATATTTCTACCCTATTCTACTGCATAATTTCTTAACTACAATTTTAGGAATGTTTGCTCTTGTAAATCTTGACATTTATATAGCCACAACTACTCAACATATATGCGGAATGCTTGCCATTCTCGGGTTAGTTAATGTTATGTTATGATGTGCATGTTGTATTCATTTGCTATTTTAATGAAACCAATAAAAAATAAAAACCAATAAACCAATAATAAAATCCAAGTTCCAATCAGAGCCGGATTTAGCTGGGGACTTGGAAGGTATAGGCTCTAGGTTGGCGGAGGGGCCTGCAGGGATCTCGTCGATCTTATTATAACTTGTGCATTGCGACATGTTACAAAAGTTTGAAGAGCTGATTAAGATAAATTAAACTGAATTATTTTCATGTTATTACATATCTATGCGTTATTTTGTCAATCACTTTTGATTGAGTTATTTTACTATTAGAAATAGAAGTTATTTTTTAAACAATGTTCAATGAATTATTACAAAAATAAATGATCAAAATTATTCTTCAAAACTATGTAATAATTCAACCATTAGCCGGGTTTTCCCAAGATTTCGAATTTTTTTTAGTAGGCCACGTTGTCTCTTAGTCCCGGGCCTTGGAAAAGTTGAATCCGGCTCTGGTTCCAATAAAACTATAAAAAAGTACCTTGCATCCTTGTAGTTTCTATATGTGAATTATCGGATTAAAACAATAACAAGATACCTCTAAAAGAGCATGATACGTGAACGTTAAACCATAACATATATTGTTTTAATTGTTAGCCCAATAAAACATCAAAACCCAATCAAAACAACCAAAATGTTATTTTGAAATTTTTTAATGTTTAGAAGACGGTTACAAAATATTCAAAAGGAAAAGATTGTTGGTAAATTGGAGGATGGCTTTTTTCATGAAACTGTAACCTGCGTAAAATTGCATATTAATATTTTAGAGTTAAGTATGTTATTCTTTATTGTACCCATTATTTATGGTTCTAGTGTCAATAAGCCAAATATAATTAATTATTTTTTTCAGCTTATTGAAAATTATGACCGACACAATCAGTTTTTCATTTGCTATTTTGCTGGTGATTCTCTTAGCAATGTTGACCTTCACTGGCCTCGTGGTAATTGAAAAAATGAGTGATTTATTACCGATCACGAATTTCAGTCATTTTATAAATATCATTACTAGTTGATAATTACTCCAACCGAAATACACATATTTTTGCTTCATTATACACTAATTACCAGTGCAGTCTTATTTTAGCTACATTAAATCGACATTGTCGGTTGTAGTGAATTACTGCTTATTTATGAATATTGTCTTTACCAATATAAAGATATACCAAAATATCAATTTTTTTATGCAAAAAACCAGAGTAATTTTTATTTATGGAGGCGTATTATAACACTTTTTGATAAATTGTCGAAGAAAATACAATGTGCTTGGGACAAAAGTTACGCACCATAGTTTTAATAAGATTAACTTTATGGAGCCAAGGCAAAACTAAGGTAAGATATAGTATCAAACTGACTATGTCATTCGTAGGTATATTAGAAAAAATATCCTTATTTTTTTTGTCATTTTTAGTTACTTATAAAGATTATTTAAAAAATTACGATAACAGTTGTTATTAAAAAATAACTACATTAATCACAAAGAAAATCTGTGAAACACTATTTCGTCGGAGTAGCATTTATTAGTGAAAAATTATTATAAACATCGCACAATATTTATATAAAGTGCCTATATTAAATCCCAGAGAAAATTGAAGAAAAACTGAAATGTATTGCGTGAAGTCCTTGCGAAAAGCTCAGACGTCAAAAGTTATAAAGAATGATGTAAATATTTTTTATTGTAACAACAATTCCAATTTAGATTTTAATAATAAACTAAAATTTAATGAATTCATGTTAACAAGTTTTGTTTTAACATTTTCGCATAGAATTAGTTGGTGCAATTAGTTTTTCCACAGAACAAGTATTATTATAATTTGTTTAAATAATTTTTATAAATAATAAGAAATAACAAAAAACATAGGTATTATTTTTCAATTTATGCATGACGTTAAATTTGATGCTATGTGGCCTCCGTTTTGCCTGGACCTTAATGGAAAATATTCAGTCTAAACGATATATTGATTCTTCATATTGATTCATGTATATTTCATGACAAAAATTAAAATGCCACATAATTGTCGTATACAATTGTTTCATTATAAAGGTTGTAATCAAATGGGGACAATGGACTGAAGTTATTCGCTTTGTATTATTTACATCTGCAGAACTATTTCATATATTTTGTTACAGTTATCATAGTCAAAATTTACTAAATCACCATGAACAATTATTCAATGCAATGTAAGTATTCAGACAATTCTCTGAAAGATATCTGATTATAAATATTAAATGATCGCATTAGTATTAAATTTTTGTTTCAGACAATTTTCCGGCTTGTATGAATCATCGATTAGGACACGAAGGCTTATCAATATAATGCTTTTAAGATGTTCAAGACCATTTCTTATCCTGTGTCTAATATTCCCGTTGAGCATGCAGAACTTTACATTGGTTAATAATATGACATAAATGAGTAATATGACTGAGAAATGTATATTATGATATTTTTGTAGATCGTGAAAACATCGTTTTCCTACTTCACCGCTGTCAAATCTGTTAGATAATATATTGAGATAAATAGCAATCTATGCGCCAGTCAAAGTAAATGTTATTGTTGCTTAAAATATACTTTCAAATACGATATAAATTCAAATTATTGCTTTACGCTATTTTATTTTTTCAGGCGGTTATCTTTCAGGAGCCACGTGTGTTTTCCTCAAATATCTATTCAAAATTATCAATTACTAAATAATACTACTCCTTATACTTTTACAGAGATAAGAAGTTTATTTAGCATATCTATTAATTAAGAAGAAAACATATTTCGGAAGTTTTGATGTTCTTAACTCAACTGAGATAAGAACATTACCACACCCTCATCGACTTTTTAAACAATATTTAAGAAGATACATTAGCAAATACTTCCTTGAAAATTTATTGTAAAAATTCTACAAAACATAGTACAGTTATACATAGACGATGAGAATCGCATTAACTACAGAAGTGACTTTAAGCTAAATAATAAAAATTAGGGAAAATTACAAGTTATTATCTTATGCATTTCACGTCAGAAAATTATCGTAAAGAATACCCAAAGAATCCCATCCCATTTGTGGTTGATTAAATTTGTATTGAAGTTATGAACCTTTGCGTCGACTGTAAGCTACATCCATTATATTCTTTTATTATGCAAATGTCGTAGGGGGACAAAACGCATTTAGCAGAAAAGAAACATATGTACATAATGAAACAAATTTTATGCCGAAAAAAGGTTTTTTACGATTCTTTGTAGTATAATATATGAATACAGAAAACTTTCAAGCAAATATAAAATGCACATAAAATTTTTAACAATGTGTCTACGTATTCGAATAACATTCATTATTATTGTATTGATCGACGAATGTTAAAACGTACAATGTTCAACTATTCTGGGATTCAACAAACTTTTCAGATAATCCTCCTATAAAAATACGAACCTGGCAAAATGTGGTCAGTTTTTTTGTGAGCTGATTGGCTGAAAGATAGTCACGTAATCAGCTATTGTAGACTATTATATATAGGTATATGTTGTGTACATTCATGAAAGATTACTGTAGATAATAAATGTTTGAAAATTGAATCAATATAGTGGGCATGAATTTCATATGAATTGATCGCTTTAATCATACTTACTTCAAAATAATGACCAACTGTAGTGAAATTAATTGAATTTTGCTCTATGCAAAAGTTTAACTTTAAATAAACGAAGTTAATCATAAAAGATATCAATTGGCAGATTCTCACGATAAAATATTGTATAATTTCAACTTTATTGGGTTACGTAAATTATTAGAACATTTTTTGAAAACGCTAATTAGAACTGTGAACGTTTTATACCAAAGTATTTACATTGTGAAGGATGTGATTATAAAAAATTATAATGTTTTTAGAACTGTAACGTCGGGAACAGGTCAGGCTATATAATAGCGGCAAATTTAAATTTTTATGAAAAAGGAATTCCCTCAATTAGAGTAATGACTAATTAAAGTCTGACCTTGTTCTTAGTGACGCGTGTTCCACTTATGGGTTTAACCCTTTATAGCCTACTTTTTATATGTTTTGCCTTATAAAAGAGGTGGCAAAGCGACTGTCGAAAGAACTTAGTATTCTACTTTGAAAGACTCCGGAAGTCTCTATATCACTTATTGTGAGTAATGAATGACTCGTAGAAATTTAGTTTAAGTATTTATTACTCAAAATAAGTGATATAGAGACTTCTGGAGTCTATCAAAGTAGAATACTGAGTTCTTTCGACAGTTGCTTTGCCACCTCTTTTATAAGGCAAAACACATAAAAAGTAGGCTATAATTTAACATATTTATTCGAATTTGTACGTTGTCTACTGTAACGGGCAAACCGTTAATTCGCGCAAGTTTGTGCATCGATACCAGCGCGCGCGCGCGGGATGATAGTACGAGTGGGAAAGCGTGCCAATACCGACTCGAGGGCGCGTAAACGAGCGAGAGTGGGGTAGAGGGAGAGCGCAAAGAAAGTATCCAGCTTGACACGCGACTAGATGTACGCCGTACGTGACAGCAAGCATAGAGAAAAAAAGAAAGAAGAGAGCAACGTGAGAACGACTTCTAAGATCGATCACTTCCTCGAGGAGCATCCGCGTTCTACCACAAGACAAATTTGCTGGTAGGAAATCCAAGTGGACACACAATGATCTCGTCGCACAAGTAAGCTGGTTAGCAAAATTTGCGTTATATATATATTATATTCAAAACGGTCGCCAGGACATGCACGTTCTCGAATGAGTCAGATACTTCCGTCCTCCACTTTATAAGATTAGTGTATTAAGATGATGGCGGATAATGCCTGACTTTTAACAAAACTCGTGTCTGGCCTCGACCTGTTTTTCACGAATCTTCACCTGAACGCGAACGCATATAAATAACGATGCGGTCGCGATCATTTGCACCAACCATTTGCAGCGAGTTTCTAGCCAAGGCGCTCGCCTCCTGGAGTTAACAGGACGCAGCGATAGACATTCCCGCAGCCAACAAAATCGACGCAAGCTGTCCGCGCCCTCGCACAAAATAGCCACACTGTTACATTAATTTCAAAATCAATTACTACATTAATATAAAATATCGCCTAGTAAGAAGTTTTGTTAAAGCCACTGAAGCTGATACTTCATAACACCTACGAGTAGTAATAATTCCAGCATCTCGCGCTGTCGCTGACGCTTTGATTGCGGTTGCTTTGTTATATCTCATTCCACCTGCAGCTCCTGCGACTACTTTTTCAGCTCTTCCATCTTTTCTTTCATCGTAAATGTGTCGTATCGTTGATTGTACGGCTCTTGATACAATTGATTTTTTTTATGTAACATTCGCACCTTAACAAATTTTTGTAACCTTAACAAACCGTACGTTGGGCTTGTATACACGCTCCGAAAAACTCGTTCCACGTCGCCTTTTTTCTTTTCAGCCCGCAGAATTAAGATCGTCTCTTCGTCTACTTTCGCTTTTTATTTGGCTTTTGGAAATTCTGAATCGCTTTTACGTACCTTGTTGTGCATATTACGTCTTCAAGGAAGAATTAAAATAAATTATAGAAGACGGGCATACTTCCGCGCATACACGCACATATACCATTCTACATAATTATCCATCTTATTTTATATCGAAACTGATCCCCTCCCCTTTTTACTAGGGTTACTTTGTTTGAAAGGCTACCTATAAACCGTATTTAACAAGAGTTTTACCGAAGCTGATGTTTTCTGACGTTAAACATCATTTGCATCGGTGAACGTTGCCGCTGCGTCCTCGATTGCAATATCCGCATTGTTCAGTAAAATTTCTATACAAAAGTATGTACAATGTATATACAAGTATGTACAAAAGATTATTTAGACAGACAATATTAGAAACAATTTGACAATTTATCTGAAATGAATTGTCCGATGCCTATTAAGGTTTTCCTACTTTTAACGTTCTATAAGACAAAAAATATTGTTTATATTAATCTTGTTTATTACAAATTGAAGATATTCTCGTAAAAATCGTTATCATTAAAACCGAAATTCACACGATTGTTTTTTACAGATATTTTATTCAAGAAGTTTAAAAGTTCGATATAAGATTTTAATATTATAAAATATTGAATTTGTAGTTATAAGGACAAGATTTTATAAAAAAATACTCAATAAAAATATAGTAATGGAAGTACTACAAAAATAGATGTAAAGCTCCATGTAATGTTTTCGTTCGTATAATATGTTGATAAAAACATAGAATACGACTAAATGTAGGGGACGGATAACCAAGACTCGTGAGTCTCATTCGTAACGACACATACGAGTGTGTTCAAAAAGTAAGGTAAATTTTTATTTTTATGAAAAAATATTTATATATAGTGACGGTAAACGTCCCATTAGCGCTAGCAGCCCAACCACGCGGCTGCCTGCGAGGGCATCACCTGCCGGTTGGGGAAAAATGTAACGAGGGAATTCGGCACGAGACGGGATGGAACGCGCGCGAATACAAATGAACCAGTCGAGGATTAGAATCCGAGTGCCTAGCTGCAGTGAGCAACCAAAAGATAGTTTTTCCGAGTTTTGACGGGTGCCGAGACGAGCTGACGAGTTGAGAGAGAGGAACTGTGCCTTGATGTGGCGAGAGCGAGTGTGTGAGAACGTGTGCGAGTGGAGAGTTTCGCCATCGAGGGCGAAACCAAAAAGCGCGTGACACCTCGCCCGCAGATAAACATTTCCCAGAGACTAGCGTGCGCTGCGCGGGTGTTTTCTACCTCGCTTGTTGCCTGTGCGACCGTTAATAAGGTAAGCTGGCCAGCTTAATATCGCGATTGCTGTATGATTGCTGATAACTAATTCCCCGTACTCAGTAAGAAGCGTGCATGTATTAACTCGGCGAACAAAGAGCGGCGAGCGATCCGACACTGCATGTTATTGACGCGCGCGCGCCTTGTAAACATAAACACGCGGGCCGAACGTATTGTAGAGATAAGAGAAAATAAACGATCTCGCATGTGATATTGACTGTAATTTTGGAGTTATTATTTCTCGCTAGTAAAAGGTTGGTTGACTAACGCCCTTTCCCTCCTGCTCTCCGATTGACGAGTTTAAACGTTTAGACAATCCCGTGCGCCCTTTGAGGCGAACGCGCGCATAAGTAAATAGACGGATATCAACCCCGTTACAACATCAATATTAATACACTCAGATATAATACACTTGTGCCACCGTTTTTTTCAATCCTCGAAGCACTTCTGTTAAGCACTTTCTTGTATAGCCTTGAGTTTTTCCAGCGATTTTTTCTTTATCTCCTCAATCGTTCCAAACCTCCGTCCTTTCATGGGTTTCTTGAGTTTTGGGAACAGGAAAAAGACGCAGGGGACAAAGTCGCGATTCCTTCTTGAGAAAAATACACTGACAATACAATAAAATTGTACTAAATAACGTGATCAATTCATTTAATTTAATAAATTGTATTGACGAGTCTAAATGATTGAATTAAATAATTTACTTCTTATTTTCAGTCGTAGACAGACTTAGTGTAAAATACACGTCGAGTGATGTCACTCATCATTAATGGACACTACATGACTCCAATGTGCCCCAACCATATCCGTACTATCGATATCGTTGGCTATCACAATATTTCACTCGTCCTGTTACATGCCCTGCTGCTCTTGCACGTCCTGCTGAACACAGTACCCCAGCTGCTCCAGTTTAACCAGGTGCCAAAGCTACTGTAGTTAACCCAGATACTATAGCTACTTCATCTGGTCGAGCTACAATAGCTGCTCGCCGACCATCATTTTACGACTACGAGCAGTTATTTACTGATTTGCCTCCTGATGGCCTAACGCCCCGATGAAGCATGCTCGATATGAAGAACTAACAACTTTACGAACTACTTCTTCATCCGCTGGCTTCTCCCGACTAATACGTTTAACACGCAGAGGACCGCAGGTAACTTTTTCTATTACTATTATTTATTCTTTTATAATACCTTTATATAATACTTTATTTCAATAATTTTTCAGGGCAACAACCTGAATCGGTTGATAGTGATGCTAAAAGCAAAAGCAAACGAGATTATGGATTCGTTAATCCAGCGCGTGAAAGCTACACATTCATGGTACAGCAACGCGTGTTTGAGACAGCTTTTGAAGATCAAAATCATATTCCTTTCGATAATTTGCCAATTATTGTACGTCAGGAAGTCCATGAGAAATAGATCAGGCAAGTTTATTGGAAGATATCTATGTTGTAAACGCTTTATACGACGGCGACTCAAATAAAAAAAATAAAGAAGTAAATTTTAAATAATTACAAGACAACATAGATCCTGAACTACTTTAAAAAATATGTCAACGATAAGAAAGTACCCATTCGAATTTTCATGTAAACACAAATTTTGTACAAAATGCATTCATTGCTGGTTATCAATAAAAAAAATTTTCTTCTTTTCCGAAAAAACTTGGCTATTTGAAAAAGTTTAATATCTGCGATAATGTCATACGTTTTGTGGATTCCGACTCATCTGACAACTTCTAAACGAGGAAACAAAGTTTGTCTTATCTTTTTTTTCGTAACTTTTAATTTTTTATTCATGCTTTTAATTATTTTTAAATATTTACTCGAGAATTTTTTCATGCTTAATTTGAAGCTTTTCTACGTCTTGACATATTTACTTACTTCATTTTTATTGTCTCTAAATAATTTTTTAGGATAAACTCACTTTTTACACAAACTTTTGAGAAAACTACGTTTCCACGTAACATATGTAATATTGGTTTTTTATTATTTCAAAATGGTCCGTTGTTTTTAAAAGTATAAGTGAAGCATATTATATTTTTAGAACAGCAACTACTATCGCTCGATTTTAACGTATTTATTGAACAAAATATCGCACCGATATGACTGATCATTTGATATAAAAACATGTTCCATTTCGTCACCTTTCAGTAAACTACCAAATTTAATAATAAGGTTGCTTTCGAAATAAAATATTAAGAATAAATAAAGATTCTGTGGTAACTGCAAAAACAAGGCTGTAGTAGATTATACTGTAGGAGAGGTAATAACTTACGAACGAAATGCCTAAAAAATCGAAAATTAAATCATGATTTTCATGAATAATTTTAACATTAAGAGTCTATCATAAAACAAATGTTTGTACTTCATTTTTGAAAGAGATTCTAGTAGTAAGTTTATTATATTTGACCATTTTGAATGTCATAAAAACATAATACTTGTCTACTTTCTTACTACAATTTTTTATAAAAGTTAGGCACACAGAAACAAATTTTTATAAAACACGTTTGTGTTAATAAATGTATGCATCGTTACGAATGAACGCATTGAGACTCACAAATCTTGGTTACTTGACCCATAGATTTAGTCGTATTATACAACATATTATGTATTTACGATTATATGTAAAGCTCAAATTTTTGTATTACTTGTACTTCCATTGCTTGTATTGAGTTTTTTAAGTAAAATGATTTCTTCCTAAAACTAGAAATTCAATATTTTATTATATTAAAATAAAAATATTATGTACTTGTTCGCTCGAGATACGTACAGCACTAACAATCTCACGTACCTTCACTCTTTTGTCAGCCATCATTATATCATGAATTTTAATAATGATTTCTCGAGTGGTGATCTCAACAGGGCGTCCAGAACGTTCAACGTCTTTTGTGCTCATATGGCCGCTCCAAAAATTTTGAAACCACTTATAAACCATTCTAATCGAAAGTGTACAATCACCATAATGTTTATCAAACTTTTGTTGAGTCTCCTGAGGAGTTTTACCTTTAATAAAGTAATGTTTAATCAACACACAAAATTCTTTTTCGTCTATTTTCTTATAATCATTTGATTTCTTTGATTTAAACGAATAAATACAAAGTAATAGACCGATCAGACTGAAATTTGGTGTATGTGTGGCGGTTGTCCCGAGTCCGAGTTTCATCGAGCCAGCACCAAGCGTTGGCATACCAAGCGTTGATAGGAGGTGCGCTCTAAAACAGGCAATTGTACCGCGAGAACTATTCTAGCTCTCCCTTCTTCTCTCGTCATGCCTTGAACGCGAGGCATAAAGCTCCGCGCGCTCTCCTTACGACGCGCGAGTCTTCTCGTCTAAGTGCGAAAGTTCACGAAGCCTTTTGTAACGACTTAATCGTTTCTGTAAAGTATTTCATTAAAGCATTCATTAGGTTATACCTATGTTGGCACTGTAACGATTTACCATCAGGCGCCCCCTCTCCTCCTGCCGTACTCTTAAATCAGGCGCCCCCTCTCCTCCTGAGATCTATGAGATCAGGCGCCACCGCCGCTGCTCCCTCTGTAATCTGAGGCGTATAAGCTATCAGATCAGCACTGTTAGATCATGCGCAAGAGTCACCCCCCCGCCCGCCCAATGTGAAATGCGTTTTAAATATTAAAATTAATTTATGTATTTAACTGAATTTAATTAATTTGACGCCATTCATTTACGCGTAATGCACAGATTTAGTGAAAAAAATGAGCAAACACCACGGGGAATCATCTCGCGTTCTATGGATCTAGCAAGTGAATCACGGCTGCTTTTAGCTCTTGGTATCTCTTATTGTGTATATTGAGTACACACAGCCAAAAAGCGACTGGACTACGCCCCCCCCTCGCCCCCCGCGTTCATCCGTATGTGTGCACGCGTTGTCGTGTGTGTGTGTGTATTTGAATGCATATATTCATATACAGGGTGGCCCATTTTAAGTGATCCACTCAGATATCTAGATTGGAGTAAGTTTTATCGAAAAAAGTTTCAGACAAAAGTTACTCAACTTTGAGGGGGCCATGTTTCTATGACCTTGGATTTGACCTTGGAGGTCATGTTCAAGGTCATTTCAAGGTCAACTTTGTTTTTTTAAATAGGAACCCCCATTTTTGACCCCGGATTCGGAAAGAGCGGGAAATTTTACGTCCAAAACGGTATTTTTAAATTTTTTTTCATGGCCTTGAGAAGGTCGATTTAAGGTCAAATGCTTGAAAAACTGCATAAAAGCGTTTTTTTAATTTTTAAGATATCGAAAAATGACCTCTACAAAATTTGTTCAGAACAGAGTGGGCCACCCAATGCACCAAAAACCTTTGACCTTTAACCTCATTTTGAAGGTCATTTCAAGGTCGAAATGTTGTTTGTAATGGAAATCCTTCTTTTTAACCCCGGATACGCACATAGCGCGAAATCCGACGTTTGGATAAGGTATTGTGTTGAGTTTCGCGCTATGTGCGAATCCGGGGTCAAAAAGAGGGGTTTCCATTACAAAAAACACTTCGACCTTGAAATGACCTTCAAAATGAGGTTAAATGTCAAAGGTTTTTGGTGCATTGGGTGGCCCACTCTATTCTGAACAAATTTTGTAGAGGTCATTTTTCGATATCTTAAAAATTAAAAAAACGCTTTTAGGCAGTTTTTCATGCATTTGACCTTAAATCGACCTTCTCTAGGCCATGAAAAAAAATTTAAAAATACCGTTTTGGACGTAAAATTTCCCGCTCTTTCCGAATCCGGGGTCAAAAATGGGGGTTCCTATTTAAAAAAACAAAGTTGATCTTGAAATGACCTTGAACATGACCTCCAAAGTCAAATCCAAGGTCATAGAAACATGGCCCCCTCAAAGTTGAGTAACTTTTGTCTGAAACTTTTTTCGATAAAACTTACTCCAATCTAGATATCTCAGTGGATCACTTAAAATGGGCCACCCTGTATATTATTTTTGATATATGCATATATACTGATTATTAATTCATGAAATAGTGGAGTAGAGGGGGGAGGGTAATAGTAAATATACACATTGTTTTTTCTTAAATAAAATTTGTTATAGATAAAAAATAAATCTTATTCTACAAGTCATTTACATTAAAAGAATATTCATAGAAATCCTTCAATAATTTTATCGCTTTCTTCCTAATCCATGCAGCAACCATTCAAGTAAAACTTTTTCATAAATTTGACATTTTGATGTGCGCACGTCGTTACGTATTTACCGTTATGATCAGGACACACAGTAACTGATTTCATATTTTCAAAAGGGGAATAACCTCAACCATTCATTGGTCCACTAGTCGAGGGTGGGGGTTATGCAAGAGCACTGATTTTGTCGCGCGCATAAGTCGAATATAATTAGTAGTGGGAGTAGCTAAGTCTAAGGGGGATTGTGCGGAGTAGCTTGGCGTGGGTATATTAATGTGTTCTTAGTCGTGCGTGCGCTTTTCACGCAGCAGGCAAGACATAAACGTCAGTTCAACGGCTTTTCACACACAGCAGACCAGTCGTAAAACTTAACGAACAGGCCATGGGTGGTGTAGCTGCAACGGCTTTTTTTGTGAGGCCCATTTTTTCAAGACGATCGCACAGCTATTCCAACGTTCAATTGAAATATAAAACAGCACTTTTCAGTGCTAAATTACGTATGAAAAAATATTTGTTCAATAAATAAACTAATTATATATTAAAAATCTCTGAAATTTTCCATCAGACAGCACTTTTCAGTGCTAAATAACGTATGAAAAAATATTTGTTCAATAAATAAACTAATTATATATTAAAAATCTCTGAAATTTTCCATTAAACAGCACTTTTCAGTGCTAAATGAAAAAAAATTATTAAAAACTTTGTCTAGTGTTTTTTCTTTTTCCCAATCGAATTTGCAGCAATGTCAATAGGTAAGTATAAGGTAGGTATTTTTTAAATTAAGTTATATGCGCTATTTCTTTTTTCCTATACAGTTTATAGCAAAGTTAATAGGTAAGTATAAGGTAGGTATTTTTTGATTACCGTTTCGTTGAAAGTCTGTCTTATTTTTATAAAATATTCTAATTACATATATATGGCCACAAATTAAATTTTTTGAACAATCTCTACCAATTTTTATAGATTTAATTATATTACAGAATATGAATATTTATTAGAGACGATAGATATTAAGAATACAAAACTCGCATAGTGCTAGTACTCTCTGAAAGAATGGCTACGATTCAAGCGGCATAGCGTAGTCGGGCGAACGCATGAGGAGCGCGAGTTCGATTCCCCCCGTAGTATTGATATATATATTTTTTTATTAATATTATAATTGTAATTAATCATAGATATTATCTTATTTTTAAGAATTTTTTTCTATACAGTTTGTAGCAAATTCAATAGGTAAGTATAAGGTAGGTATTTTTTAATTACCGTTTCGTTAAAAGTCTGCCTTATTTTTATAAAAAATTCTAATTACATATACATGGCCACAAATTAAATTTTTTGAACAATCTCTACCAATTTTTATAGATTTAATTATATTACAGAATATGAATATTTATTAGAGATGATAGATATTAAGAATACAAAACACGCATAGTGACTAGTACTCTCTGAAAGAATGGCTACGATTCAAGCGGCATAGCGTAGTCGGGCGAACGCATGAGAAGTGCGAGTTCGATTCCCCCCGTAGTATTAATATATATTTTTTTTATTAATATTATAATTGTAATTAATCATAGATATTATCTTATTTTTAAGAATTTTTTTCTATACAGTTTGTAGCAAATTCAATAGGTAAGTATAAGGTAGGTATTTTTTGATTACCGTTTCGTTGAAAGTCTGTCTTATTTTTATAAAATATTCTAATTACATATATATGGCCACAAATTAAATTTTTTGAACAATCTCTACCAATTTTTATAGATTTAATTATATTACAGAATATGAATATTTATTAGAGACGATAGATATTAAGAATACAAAACTCGCATAGTGCTAGTACTCTCTGAAAGAATGGCTACGATTCAAGCGGCATAGCGTAGTCGGGCGAACGCATGAGGAGCGCGAGTTCGATTCCCCCCGTAGTATTGATATATATATTTTTTTATTAATATTATAATTGTAATTAATGATAGATATTATCTTATTTTTAAGAATTTTTTTCTATACAGTTTGTAGCAAATTCAATAGGTAAGTATAAGGTAGGTATTTTTTAATTACCGTTTCGTTAAAAGTCTGCCTTATTTTTATAAAAAATTCTAATTACATATACATGGCCACAAATTAAATTTTTTGAACAATCTCTACCAATTTTTATAGATTTAATTATATTACAGAATATGAATATTTATTAGAGATGATAGATATTAAGAATACAAAACACGCATAGTGACTAGTACTCTCTGAAAGAATGGCTACGATTCAAGCGGCATAGCGTAGTCGGGCGAACGCATGAGAAGTGCGAGTTCGATTCCCCCCGTAGTATTAATATATATTTTTTTTATTAATATTATAATTGTAATTAATCATAGATATTATCTTATTTTTAAGAATTTTTTTCTATACAGTTTGTAGCAAATTCAATAGGTAAGTATAAGGTAGATATTTTTTAATTACCGTTTCGTTAAAAGTCTGCCTTATTTTAATA